CACCACCATCAGAAAGGGTAAAGTTTCACCAACAAGATGGTGTTGTTAGTTTGCTTTTGTTTAGCAAAGCACATACGTTCCTTTTAAAAAGTAATCGAGAATTTAAGAAATATAGGGTTCCACCCTATGCAATTAATTAGTTCCAAGGTAGAGTTTTTCATGATTCTGGATTCAAAAATCTCGTCTTTTTAATATTTCCCTGAGAGGGTTAGTTTTCGTTTCCCAAGAGATCTCAATTATGGCAACACGACACTAAGACCTTATGTCGAAAAGTACTCATCGCTATCGTATTAAACTGAATGTTTCCTATTTTTGTAGTTATTTAAATTTTAGAATGGCAACGGAGGAACGTACATTACATCAATTTCAATATTTGCATAGAAATGCATAAAATAGCAAAAACTACGTATTTATAAAATATAAATCTAAGATGATGATATACCAACAAACTACAGTACTTGCACTACATCTGAGATATTATCAGGATCCTCAGCTTTGAAGTCATGCTGGCATTCTTAAGAGGGATTTGGCATTTTGAAACTATGCTACGAAATATCTTAATAATCGGACAGGTTTGAGCCGAAGGATCTCAGAATTTTATGAAAATTTTCCCACAGTTGGAGTTTATGATTATGAACGAAATGAAACTTCACATACTTTAAAAAATCGTAACTAATGCACTAAGCATTCTATTTATTTATTTGTCGCCAATCACGAATAGACTGTTTTGTTACAATAATAATTACATTTTATTTCTTTTAAATAAAAATCTCAGCAACTCATAAAAAATAAAATCTGAAAAATGTTTTCCACGAAAATGGTCACGGTGGAGCAAAACTGCAACAAAAATCAGGGAAAAACATTGTCAGATTAACATTTTATTTAAAATATTTTTTATGCTTCAATACTTCTTATATTTCACTGGTGAAAATTTCAGAGTGGTATCTCTTACCGGTGTTTAGTTATGACCAACAAACTATCGTTCTGGAAAATTTTAATTCAACTTATCTGATTTTTCTGAAATTGATATAGGTTCTTTGAAAATCCATAACTCATGGACCAATCATCGTAGAAAAAACTTAATACAGAACTGATAAGGAAATTATTGATTGATATATTTTCTTTAGGAGATTTTTAGCCATTGGCTGGTTCATCATTGGGAAAATATGGAAAATATCTCAACAATCCATTGAAAATATAAGCTGACAAATATTTTCCATGAACATTTTCATGATGGGGTAAAGTGCAAAGAAAAACAGGGAAAGTAATTTTCCGAGTGATAATTTTTTTTCAATAACTTTCCTCTCACTTGCAAATTTCTTATCTTTCACTGGTGAAAATTTCAGAGTGGTATATCTTGTGGTTTGGGTCGCGGTTGAGTATTTACCGTAGGCCGGTTACGCACCATTTTAAGAGAAAAAAAAACAAGACAACGGTCTTCTTCATAGCTTTCCGTTAGTGATTCGGTCATATCTCAAAAACGAAAAGAAACAACAATCACCAGAAAAAGATAAGAAATGATTAGAACAAATTTCATTGCCTTAAAAATGTTTTTTCCCGATTTTCCACACGATTTTTCAGATTATATTTTTATGGATTTCTGAGATAATTTCCTAATCATTTTACTACACAACGTTCGTTATATATAAGTTATGGTTTATGAGTTATTAATTTTCAAAGTAAGTGATGCATGGGAAAATACAAAAACTTTAACGAACATTTTCTGGGAAAATTAATCACCCCGCATTTCTTTTTTTTTTCGTTCATATAAAAAAACTACAAAGGAAGCCCTATGGGGTTGTACGAAATGGTGACGTAGGACTACGTGGTCTTAAATAATAAATCTTATTTGTTAACTGCAGCAGGAGCTTGTGTTTTGTGTAGGAATAGGAATTTGAGCGGGATTCTCTCTGTTTATACTCTTTAGTATGACGCGCTTGACATAGATTGCTCACAGCGACTCAGTTGTTCCTCCTTCTATGTGGGCTGCAGCTTGCTGCTTGCAGGCAGTCTTTTATTGTGTACTGGAGAACCTAGGCGCTTAATACAAAGGTGCCACTCAAGGAAGAAGTGTTAGTTTGTTTACTATAATGAACTATGCCCATATGCCCTATTGTTATGGCAAGTTTTGCTATAAGAAATGCTCCTCGTGTTTTTTATCGAAATTCACATCAAAGGATGATTAATTGCGTAAGAAATCAGTTTGGCACGGCATCTGTGACCAGCATACACCTTCCGATCGTATGAAACAGGTCAAAAACTGTCCAAATACGCCCATAAAATTTTGTGTTTTGAATTTCTGTACGGCAAAATAGTAAACTTTTCGTGAACACTGGGAGACCGTGAGCTCCTGCCCATCTGTCATAAAACCATCTCGCTGGAAAACACCACAACTCACCACGCGGTGATTGAATAAATAGCGTTTGGTAAGACCGGATGGAATTCAACTTTGAAATCTGTGTTAGGGAAATCGCTATTCGCAGGCAATCGGTGATAATTTATACTATCACAGCAACAATTGCACATTCATGCAATTTTCAATAATGACATTTTGAAAAAATAAATAAAGTCTTTATTTTAACAGATGCGTAGAAATATTTCTGATCCATTGGTGATAAAATTATTGAAATTGGACCAGGGGTAGCTGAGTTATTAACGTTCAAAATCTTACATAATTTCGTTACATGTTCCAATTTTGGTTTTCACAAAGTGTACCCCCATATAGAAATCAAAGACGTAGTCCTACGTCAAAACTCAACTATTGGCCAAAATTTCAAACAATTCTGAAACCCTTCGGTCTAAGACGAGAGGAGCAACACAATAGTTGGGTAAAGAAGAATTGCATTATAACACACCATCGACTGGATATGCTTTTGGAAACGTGGGGCTAGAACTATTCCACAGCCGTAGACAGTATATCAGCAAGTCAAACACGCAAACATTTTTTTGCCTGTAGATTTTTAAGAAATATTTCAAGTCTCCTCAAATTTGGTAAAAAAGAGTACGTTTGACTAGTACCAACCGGTGGAAACTAACGATTTTAAATTGGATCACTACTTGACTAGCCTATTGGTCCCAAGCAAATCGATTAACGTACCACATTCTAGTCGAAGTTCTAGTACTACACTATGTTTGTTTTGATTCGCTATGAAAGTAGTACAGATAAAATGAGGAGTTCGTGCATTTTCCTATGTTTCGAGGGGTGCATCGATTAGCGTGGGACTTAAGATAGTACCAGAGCTGAGCCAAAAAACTGAGCACGTTTCTTCGGGACCTTCCGGTCTTAGAGTTACCTCTACGCTAGTACTGTCGCATTAATGGACTTTCGCTTATAAATGATACGAACGCCAGGGAGGCAGCTCCCACATTTGGACCTTACCTATTGACCCATAAACTCATAGACCGGGGACCAACGACTTTACTTCCCTTCCGAAATATAAATTACACAAAACAAAATTTTATCCGAAAGTTGTTGTTTAACGATGCTTTTTAGTTTTAATGTGTCCAACATTAAATGATCATAGAAGATAGCATTTTGATAAGATTTTTAATAAAAATAATAAAAAAATATTAATGATGTTAGTTACCTGACATAATCTCAAGCCATCAAAACTTTCTCAAAGTACCAAGGTTGCAAAATGCGTGTCGATTGATGATTGACATGGCTGGTTATCAACATCAATCGTTATTCAGTCACCATTCGAAAGGTATGGCTATCTACTTCTATTTAGAATAGATGAAAACCAGATTGGACCTGTGGTTGGCCATCTGATAGGGAAAAGCCCGGAAAAGTCCCAAACAAAATGCGGGTCGATTCATGTTGACATAACTGGTCCTCGGCAATTTGGTTACCAACCACTATTTGCTTTTGAAAGAAACAGACAGGGATCCGATTGGAACTATGGTTGGCTAGTTGGAACGAGAAAACCTGTGAGATGTGGCTCTACGAAAATTCGGATTCACCGGGAAAATAGTCAATTCCTGAAAGCAGACCTAGAGATCCACGATTTTTTCTAAATTGCATACAATCATGAACATATAGGAAATATGCAATCACCATATCGATTCTGCTACAGGGTGGCCACAAAACGGTCCTGTGGGTATCCGGAATTCGGTTAAATGGTCAATTCTTGGAAGTAGACCTTGAGATCAGTGATTTTTTTTTCTAAATTGAATACAATCATGAGTATATAGAAAATATGGAATAACCATATCGATGCGATTGCTGGGTGGCCAAAAAATTGTCCTCTGGGTATCCGGAATCCCCGAGAGAATGGTCAATTCCTGAAAGTAGACCTCGAGATCCGCGATTTTTGTAGATTGTATTTAATCTTAAGCATATAGGAAATATGCCATCACCATATCGATCATGCTACCCGGTGGCCAGAAAACGGAATATCCGGAGCCACTGGGAAAATGATCATTTTCTTAAAGTAACCTGGAAATCCATGATTTTTACTAAATTGCATACAATCATGAGCATAGAGGAAAAATAAGCCATGCACATTTAAATTTTGCTACCGGGTGACGGAAAATGGTCATGTTGATATCCGGAATTAATGGAAAAATGGTCATGTTGATATCCGGAATTAATGGAAAATGGTCAATTCCTGAATATAGACATAGAGATGCTTGATTTTTTTTTCAGAATTGCCAGCAATCATGAGCATAGAATTCTGATTAAAGTGGAGCTATCTCAGAATAATATTGATTGGATCACCCGATTGTCATAAAACACCCCTCCAGATATCCGGATTCACCGTAAAGGTGGTTTATGGTCCTAATACATGGTGTTTTTTTACAAAGTGTTTTGAATCCTGAACATTTTGAAAATATATCAACAGAATATTAAAACAAACACGAGCATTTCGTTAGGCATGTTTTTATTATTCTACTATGGCGACGACAAATTTCAAACAAGAGAACTGAGAACATCCAGGTACGTCGAATTATTGCAGTATACATCACCAGCAAACAATTGTCACTAATGAAACCAACATTTACAGTTTCCTTTTCAGCTTCCGCCAGATATTGCGCGACATACTTGTTTTCCGGATCAAAGCGAGCCCGCAGAACCTTTCCAGGATGTTTTCGGTTGCGTACTTGATGGCACGAGTCCCAGATTCATGCTGCTTCTGACTGCACTTGGCACAGTTCGTCTCCAGAGCTTCCGGCAGGACACGCTTCAATTCATTGCCCTCAGGGGTACATGGTCCAGCATCCGTCAGGCAGTTGTAGTAGTTCCTGAACAAACGATCCGACTATTGGATCTCGTCCAGGTTGATGTTGTATACATGCTTTCATTCTGGGCAGCAGCCATGGCTATTAGGGCTAGAGCGACGGCTAAGCACTTCATGTTAATGGTTTTAGCGAAATATCTGCAAGTAATTGTCAGAAACAGAACATGTGTACTAGACTGATGCAAAATTTGAAATTTTCGCTCCACAGTGTTCAAACGATTTCAAATCGGGTCCTGATTAGCCTCCGAAAGTTTAATCTGATTTGATAATAAACTGACTTGGCTCAAACCATTTGAAGTTTGTTTGGAAATTACTATGGGAAAACCAAACTTTTTGTTCATTGTCTTCTAACCTTTTTCCATAATGTACTGTTAACAAGTTCTATTGCTTTTCTTATGGGAATTTTTATCAGTAACAACTTTGCAGAAAATCGTTTTTCAGCCAAACGTCAAATTAAATAGCTATTAATTGTTTAAAAGATTGATAATCTTATGGCAAGATTAAGCAACTTTATTGTGGGCAACACTGTATTCTGCAGTGTGACATAGTAGCCATGATTTTTGTCCTCTATTCTACGCACCATAAACACCAATGTTGCTTGCTGTACAGTTGATTGAGCATAATCATAAGATATCAGTTACTTGAATCATTAATAATATTTGTTCCTTACATTAAATCGAAAAGTGGTCTTCAACAAAGTTGTAGCTGAGAAAATTTTCAACAAACTCTGCTATCATTTTTAAAGTAAAGTGAACTGGTGAATTTTGAGATAGATATGAACCGAAATTATGGTTTCCCCATAATAATTTCCATATAAACTTCAAATGGTCCGCGCCAAGTCAGGTTTTTACTGAAGGAGTTAAAATTTTGGGAGGATAATCAGGACCCAATTTGGAACCGATTGAGCACTGTGGAGCGAAAATTTAAAATTTTGCATCAGTCTAATGTGTACCTTACTCAGAAGACAAAATTGATCTATGCTCTACATGGGAACGATTCTGCTTTTTATAATCATATACGTAGCATCGAATTAAAAAGACAACTTTCTTCCTTGAAATTTGAATTTTTCTTCATACTATCCTATGTACCCCATCCATGAGTATCCAAGCGGCGGTTTAGTGCAGTCCGGCTTTCGCGAGGAAGTCGTTCATAATGACCTTGGTAAAGTATGTGCGATAAATCATTTACCTACTCACAGAAGAATAGGCAAAAGGAGCCATCTCAAAAACATCAAATCGAACCGAACCAGAGCAAATGCTGCGAGACTAAGATAATTGAACCGTGGATGCGTAAAATTAATTCCCAAATAGGAAGCGCGTAAAACTATCATCGATATGTTGCTGATTGAATCACAGATGAGTCATGAGCTGATGTCCGTTTCCGTTTAAGTCAACCAATTGAAAGTATTATAATAAGAGCTTTATAATTTTCCATTATCAAAGTGAACTTGACTTATCACATCCAGATTCAAGAATCACTCATTTGACACGCCATTTTTCAGCAATGACCGGTTATTCAAACAAATAGTGTACATCGTTCACTGCAGTCAGAATCACATGATCGATGCATTCTAAATTGCATGATCGATGAGTTTTACTCAGTGCGAGCCGTTTTTTTCTAACAGGCAACGTCATCGTCGGATTGAAGATAATTAGTGATAAAATCATTCATACTGGATGGAAACAAGAAGAACTTCACGCCACTATATATAACAGCTGAGAAACTTGAGTTAAGTACATTCAACTTTGTTCCGCCCAAGCAGCAAGGTGAGTCTCAGGTTCTAGCTTGAGTTGAAATCCTTTTTGAACATTGTTTTCAAATATTCGTTTCTTATTGTTGCAGTAAACAAAACAAATCCCCAAAAATGAAATTCGTCATCGTTGCTCTGGCCCTTGTCGCCCTGGCTGCCGCCAAACCTCAGGACGACAAGTACACCACCAAGTACGATAGCATCGATATCGATGAGATCCTCAAGTCGGACCGTCTCTTCAAGAACTACTACAACTGCCTGATGGATACCGGAGCCTGTACCCCCGAGGGCAATGAGCTGAAGCGTGTCCTGCCCGATGCGCTGGAAAACGATTGCTCCAAGTGCAGCGAGAAGCAGAATGAGTCCACTACCAAGACCATCAAGTTCCTGACCGAGAACCGCCCGGAGGAATGGAAGGCTCTGAAGGCCAAGTACGACCCAGAGAACAAGTACGTCGAGAAGAACGTGGCCAAGGCCGAGAAGGATGGAATCAAGCTGTAAATGGGAATGATCATACACTTGAGACTGAACTGGACCGATGGAAATTCGACCAAACGCAAGTATCCTGATGATGATTCTTCTGTAATGCATTTAATATTTTCATGATGCTGCCGTCTTTGTAGTCGCCCAGAATCTGTTCTGTAATCTCCACCGTACAGAGTTTTTTTTATGTGACAATAAATGGATTCAACTCAATTTGTCGACTGACATCAGCGTTATCACATCCCCCCGTTTTCTTTCCGTTTATATCTACTCTACTCAACATTACTGGGAGACTTTGTGAGATTTTGATTAACGGAAGAATTTTAAAATGCGTATGGGAAAATGTACATATGGGAAGCAGAAAGATTCATTTGACAGTCAAAATTTTTACACATTGCTCATTTTCACCCTAACATTGGGCAAAATATTCAGAAGAACTTTGTGGACGACCGTAAATCAATTCAACCTCTGCGCAAAAAGTTATTAAGTTATTATAATTGTGATCTAGTGCTCGTCGTTTATCTACTAGGCGTATATCAGATCAGCGAGCTTGCGATTGGAGTCCCCCGGTAATTACTTAATACGTATGGTCGAAATAGAACAATGTGTAAATTTTTGTGTCGCAAATAGGGGAATTTACGTATTCTCGTCAGTCTAAGCAGCGTCCGAACTTCTATTAGCGATTTCTCAGCGTCACACACATACATGACAGGTTTGTTTGTTGACATTTATCTGCTGCTTGCTGTTCTACCCATTCCAATCGACAGAATTGTTAAAAACGGGTTGAACATGTTTTTACAACGCTCCAAACTTCTCAGGTGAGTGTGACTATTGTCGGCAGTCTCTTTTTCTTCGGCACCCTTTCCATTTGAACTGCGTGTTAACCAGCTGTTCTATTATCGGCAACTCGAAATCAGCCGTATTTTGTAGTGTGTATATTTAATTTAAAGAAAAATATGGCATAACAGGATTGCACAGTCGTAAAAATGTAATCTGATTGAAGCTGAAAAGTTAAGGAATCGGCTTAATACATTCAGCGAAGAGTTTTGATGGGAAAATACTGCGAAATTAACGTTTCAATTTCGGTTGCCGAAAACAGTCAATGGGTGTCGAAGCCATAATTTACCCTATATATTTTTTTTTCCATTTCTCCTTGATTTGTTTTCCGTCGATCTTGTTTTCCGTGCTGAGCACCAATGCTACCGACGCCAGCTCCTACACCTGGACCCTACCTATCGACCCATCAACTCTTGAACCGGGGAGCAACGGCTTTACTTCCCTTCCGAAGGAAGGCGTGATCAGAGATGTTATGCCTCAGAACATCCCGGCGGCGCCGACTGGGATTGAACCCAGGCCTGCTGGGGTGAGACAATGCATTCTGGATGGTATGGTACTGGATGACTTCATGTACTAGAAATTAGAAATAGCCACCATAACTCTCGAAGAGTGCACAACCGCAAACAATTTTATACCCGACACAAATTATATAAAAAATCAAAAAAAGAAAAAAACTTTGAATATTCAACTAAAAACCGCTATGTATAAAAACTTACCACCAGAAAAACAGACGTTAGACTTCAAACAGTATTTAGACAAAGAACAAATCCAACAATTTTTCCCCTGAAGAAGGCCCTAATCAGAGCCGAAACGTAGAGACAAATTACAAAATTAATTTGTTCTGATTGAGTGATTGAAAGACTGCCAAGCCGAAACTGTTTATTGTAAAACCTCACAGTCGAACACTCCAACACAATAGAAATTAGTACATTTTGGATGGTATGGTACAGGATAACTTCATTAACATGAAGACGACAACAACTGCTCTTGGGCAGAATTTTATATGAATTTCCGATCAACACGTTAGCGGTAGCGTCAGCGTTGTTACGGTATACTTTGTAGATTGGATGCTGGTGACATTCACGTCTCTTTTGAAATTCTTAGTCAGACTGCTTTAAGGTGTAATCTAGAAAGTAACATTATTTCCTATTTAAATGTAATCAAAAGCATAACTGTCGCTATTCCCGGTCATGCCTATCTTTACCTTAACTAGGGATAGGGAAGAAAATGTTGATGTAGTACTTACTCAACGAGAGGCCTCCGAATTAGCGACACCCTCATACGGACACCCTACGGAGTTGGAGAATTGGGTAGGTCAGGATACGCCTCAAGCTGGCGATACGCCCAAAAGCATATGATTGTTTTATGGAGGAACTTGATAAGAAACCCACGATCTTCTATTCAATTATCAAAAGCGGCAGCTTGTAAGCTAACCCAGTTCCTCAATCTGGTTTCTTAATACTGTATTAATGAAACATACATAATGTTACGAACTAAATAAATAAAAAGGAAGGATCTCACCCGAATAATCCTTGAAGCTCCCAAATGCAGTTCAGAAAAGTTGTTTTCGTCTTGACTAAGGAAAGTCGTTACCCGTTGCCAGCCTTCGGAAAGAGATGGATCAAATGCAGTCCGGCATCTCTCAGTATCACCATAAGCCGCTGGAAGTTGGCCTGCTGGGTTCACACCATCGGGATCACCTTGGGTTCTTCGTTGCCCATCAGCTAACACAGATCCCAACAAACACCACTCCAGGAACTTCTTTTTTTTCACTTATTATCGCCATGGTCTGATCTATTTTGATCCCGTCCATGAGAAATTTTGAACAATAGGAAGTTTGTTTAAACATGGTTAAAATGGTTCTCAAAGATGGCCAAGAACGCGATTATCCGTTTCAACAGGAATCAAACCATCTATGTAGAAGAAGCTCTGCGAGAACTGCATCCCATCCCCTAGGGATACTGGCTGTAGGGGAGAACAGTACATAACGCACCCCCGGGGTAAGACGCACTTTTTCATTTTATTTTGTGTTTTTCTTGGAATTTT